CAGTCGGTTTGCAGTGAATTCTTTTCTCTGTTCACAGCTGCCAGTCATTGACCGGTGGCAGCCGATGTTCGCCCTTGTCTAGATCGCCTACCCTCGAAGGTCTCATCGGTCCTACAAGGTCAGTCTATTGGCGTTAAAACTATGCTCGGCCGAGCCATGTGGCATTCCGAGAGAAGCATTCAGTTGCTGCTTCCGTCAGTTGAAAATTCCCAACGTTCGTTGTTCCAGTGCCAAAGAAAGGAACTAAAAAGAAAGGGCTCGAGAGTCACCGCCTCATAGCGAAAACCTCAGTGTTTCTCAAATGTCTGGAACGCCTAATCCTGCCAACTGTAGAGCGGTCTCTTAACTGACGTGCTCAACCCTTATCAGTCTGCCTACAAACGAAGATCTGAACCGATGATGCAATTGCCTGCCGGATCAAATTGCACACGAACTTGACAAAAACAGGTGAATAGGGAGGTCGATATCTCTAGACTTTAGTTCTGCTTTTAATGTTGCTCCGCGCCATCAAGTACTTCAAAATCTGGTCACGCGAGTCACTGACCCTTCAGCTGTTCGACTGTTGGCTATGTCTCTCGCCGTCGCCAGTTCATCAAGATTAGCGGGAAAAGATTCAGCCCCCTAAGGAACAATCTTGCCGTAGTTCAGGGTTCTGTCCTCCCTTCTACTTTTCGACTCTTACGAATGTTTGTACCGTTAGCTCCCTTCTCAAATACATCAAATCCGTCGATAATGCTGTTATCGCGGGATCAATGAAATCGCGGAATGACTGAGAAAATTACATGGATGCCACCGGAAACGCGTGCCAATACTTCTACACTCTTCTGGAATACAAAGAATGCAACCCTTATTGATCTCTTCACTCATTCGCAGATTTTCAATAGCAGTTTAGTCACCTCATGTCAAACTGCTAAATGATTGAGAGTCATTTTGTCACCTGATCTCACCTGGGTTTTGTAGGGTTTCATTTTGATGTAAAGCGTCTGAGAAGTCTCCATACACCACACGATGTTATCAAAAAATTTCTTTTCACGTATAGTTCCATTTCATACATATGCATCAGAAATCACCTTTCCAGATCTGCCAGCATGTGACTTCATGACGCTAAGGCGATCAATGAGAAAAATCTCTAGAATAAGTAGTCTTTCACACAATGACCTACTGAGGCATGTGATTGATTTAGCGGTCTCTCATGGCAATAGCATGGGTAAGAACATGCTGGAGAACAGTAGTCATCCACTGCATCGCATTCTCTCGCAATGACTTTCGCGAGCCTCATCTAAATATGTTAATTCTTTTGCCAGAATACAACCGCATCGAAGATCTATAATTCCAGTTTCAGCACATTCTACGAACCCATGGACGTTAGACATCATTACTACGATTATTTTAATGATGTGACGTTTATTTCTGTTTAGCATTACAATAGACACCGATCTTATCGGTTTACTAACACAATGGTACTCTTCGACACCGTAATTAAGAAAAATAACATTTTTCTTTGACTACCGGATTTAAACGGCGTACAGGGACTTTCCCCTTGACTCTAGCGGCCCAGAGAACAATTTACTGTTTTGTAGCCCTAGGCAGGGCCGAACGAAATCTTGTCCGGACCCCAGCCGATATGCCACAATCCTAGGCATATTCATGCATAAAAATTAAAACCGATCTTAACGATTTACTAGCATACTGCTAGCCCACCGTAGGTGCTCAAATACCATGGAGCCGAGGACTGTTTAGATTGTTCCCTAGGCCGATAGAATCAAGGGGACGGTGCCTGTACGCCGTTTAAATCCGGTAGAAATGTATTTATTCCTGTGTGTATTTTCTTTGCCTAATAGATTCGTAGTTCTAGATTCTTTTTTGTTAGCTCGAAGTGCTCAAGCGCGATTCAGCATTTGTCTTGTGATACATTATTCTCATGTATTTTCTTCTTTTGTGCTTGAAAAATGGAATTCTTCGGTGATCCCATTCAAGCAGTAAACAATTCTTGTTAATCAGACCGAATGCAGGTCGTCTGTTTGGCAAATGCTTAACTGGCCTCTCCTATAACCTTCGCGGTGTCACTTCTGACGGAAGACTACACCTGACCATGTGAATACAATGGCGACATCATGGTGCTATGGAATGGACTACGAGAGTATGCAAGGCTAATGGACATGACTCCTACTAATGCGATTTACGGATACAATATACGCTGACCTTTTGATAGCCAAAAACCAGCACAACGTGTAAACTACAAATTATAAAACAATATGAATCTGTCTTCGCGCTTAAGCAGCATTAACGTCTCACCGTTTCGTTTCAAATGCTAGGGAAAACACAAGTACACCATGATTCAGTCAGTAATCGTACAAGTACACTAGTCTTGGTCAGCGCCCTGATTCATAGTTACCGTAAGCTTGTTGCCACTTTATAATAATATATATACGGCGAAAAAATGTTAGGAATTTCATAGATAATTGCCCAAAATAAGATGATTCAGCTTTTCATTTGTGCAGTGCAAATTTATGTAGTGCTGGGATGTCAAAAGTTTCCTTAAACAGTCCTTCAGTAATCTCGATCTGATTTGGTGCCAATATCCTGTGTAAACCCTGAAGGGGGACACGTATTATTTATCCTGACCACCATCAACATTGAAGATCAGCTTTTGGCAATATATGAACGGTTCAGTTGGATAAAAGTATCCTAGACCAGTGACAAGAAATGTCATTACTCCGAATCACACCACCGTCATCAGTTTATACACCATAATACGGATTGTTATTTTGATCTATCAATGCATTTACTTTATCAGTTTGATCACAATTTTCCATGTTTACTTGGCATCTAGACTTCTGATTCCCTGCCCGTGAAAACAAAGTAAGCAATCACTCAACGGGGAAAACACGGTAGAATATGTTTTTAACCGTATCCTCCTGTGACGTAGTCAGCTAATGAGAAAATGGTAGTAAAAATGATAGCTCTCGACGTCTTTACTGCAATCTATTTAGAACACTGTTAACATGAACAAGAACCTGAAGCCTGTTTATAGTTTATTCATTATTATCTATCATCATTACTCAGTTACGTAATATTACAGTAAGCTGCCTATGATTTATGATATCCAGACAACAAATTGTTCAACACTTTGACTGTTTCCTACACCAACAAAAACATCATTCCTATTTGTCGACTACGAGCTTGCATGCAATTACGTGATACATAGGAGGGGAGTCATTTTGATTTGCATACTCGAAGTACACAATCAATCCGTAACGCTATGTAAAGATTTCACGTTAATCCAAAATGTCATTGAAAAAGGAAGTAATTCCATACTGACTTAGTGCAATGGGTTGAGAAACAAATAGTAGAATACCTCAATAAAGAGACCCATCAAGATGTTCTGCGTGGTCGTATTTCGGCCTGGTTTGCAAGATTTATGACGGGCTTTACAGCTTCCATTCGTGTTGACAATGTGAGAGTAGACTAAATAAACGGCAAAAAGTATAACGCGCAAATAAGGAAATACAGTAACACAAAGAAAACCGGTAGTTGAAATACGAAATCACGTTTTGAACAGAGGAACATGACCGAAATAAAAGTTTTATTATTCAGTGGTAAGGCAGTGGTGACATCAATTTTTCTTTGACGCTAAAACGTGAATCGAAGCCTCGAACAACAGAACTTGATCAATGATCGAGTAAGAGGGTGTAGTTCACATTTCAAATTTCCACTAATTCCGCGCGGATACCGGTCTATCACTGAGGCAAAGTCACCTGTTCAGGCAAACACAACGATCGGTGCTCCAGATCTCTGAGACGGACTCGCCTACGTAAATAAAAAGAATAAATTGTTGAAATGTACCAATGAAATATACTATTTCTCTTTACCTGAGAAAACAGAATAATTCGACATTTGGTGCACCCAAAAGTACGTTACCTCTGGTATCTCGCAGGCAACGGCATGAATTCGTAGAAGATCAGCTAACGAACCACGCATGCCACTAAACAACAAATCATTTATCAAATGCTCGTACAAGGATCCGTGGCATTTACAGTTTCTGTTACCGTTAGAATGATTAACCAAACGTAACAATGATATAACAACACTGGTTATAATCATATCATAAAACTGATTAGAATAATAATACAAATCTATAGGCGATGCCTTGAGCTACGGCGTTGTGAGAACATGCCGGTTTTCTCTCTTTAGAATCGGGCAAACGCATATCAGCTTTTGCACAATCTGCTCCATGTCGTGTCATTGTGTAGTTGAAAATTAACTTTACATAAATACACAGCGTTTCATAGGGCAAACGATATGATGAAGAGTTTCGAGAGATTGTAAGAAATATTCACCTGATTTCGAAGAGCCGCATTTTATTTCTGTTTTTCTGAGAGAATTCGGCGGATAGTTGAGTTGCAAGGCAAAGTCTCTTTGTGTCTCTGCAGAAGAAAATTTCGTCAGAGACTAGTTCGGAATGCGGAAGGCACATCTACTGAGCACCGAAAAGGCTAGGGCAAGCAATTAAAGTTTGCATAACCCAAACAGAAGAAAACCCAATAAGACATGGGGCGCACGAACAATCGACCGAAGTTATCGTCACTATTAACAATATGCATATTCTTGCACAGCTAAGTACTGAATTCTATCGTTACTTCAGACAATGGTACCACAGCTCCAAACACTAAACTAACAGAAACGTCTAAGCCATGCTCAACGGATGACATCAACTGAACAAATAATATTATTGTATTTTTTTTATCGATTTGATCGTTGTGAACGGGAATCACGACCGTCTGATCATTGCGACATACGCAACTTCCTGTCGCATGCATACTGTTGCCGTAGTATATTTCGTAATAATTGCAGTACGAAACTTACTGTGTCCAAAGGCACTAACTTATGCAGTTAAAAGTGAAAGAAACAAATCTCAAACAGGAAAATATTAAAGTTTAATTGAAGACAAAACTAAATATAATGTTCAAAATATTTGTCTATACTGATTTCAGAGAAAAGAAATATTAGCAAAAACAAACCTTTTGTACCGTTCCCAAAACCTTCCATGACGACGAATGTCAGACATTCTTATTCGTTCAATACACCCTAAATTTGATAATGAAAAGCTCAAAAGCAAAAAATACTAAAAGCACCTAAGAGCGCCGACGTTTTATGGAAAATAACTGTGCAGCTGCAAAATAAACTCTGAGATAAAAAATACAACTGGACTTAAAACTTCGAAAGAGCAACCGCCACTAACGGTCCAAAACCCGGATGGACGAACGTGGAGGACCGTGACAACGTTTCCGTGAAATTTAGCTGGCAATCCTACACGCCATAAATTGTCCTCAGGGTCATCAAGGCCTGCGAAGGCTGTCAGGGAACTGAGGCACACCGCGAAAAATCAG